GAACCGACGTCGCGGAGAGGGGCACGTATTATTTTATTTGCTTACCATCCTCAGGTAAGCAAGAGGTATTATCTACATTCAAGGGCACATCCTGGTCAGGTAAAACAACAACAATAATTTAATTATTTGTACCCCGCCCATCTGAATGGGTTGCCCCAGCCACTCTGGGCAGCTTCCAACAGATATAAAAGCATAATAAAATATCAAAACATTACAAATCCCCTCTATACAAGATTGGATCCAAAAGCTGACAGAATATGCCGAATTAGACGGTCTGTCAGAAAAAAAATAAAGAATAAATCAAACCAGGAATTTGTTTCAAAATGTGAGGTTTTCAAAGAATATTTGAAAAAATAAATATAGTAGTTTAAATTCTGTTGCAGCATTCGAGGAGCTTCAGTAATAGTTGCAAGGTAGATATAAAAAATTAGATATATTAAGAAAAAGTTTAATTATGATAAAAGTGTGTATTGGCAATAAGTAATATGAAATCGAAATACGGAATAGATGGGAGGTTGGGTCTTTAGTGTTAAGACCAATATATGTTTTATTGTTTGTTAAGAAAATTATGTGTCTGTGGTTATTCCTGTGTGTAATTTGGTATTTGTGTTTTTTCTTTTTTCTTGCTCTATCTATCTATATCAAAACATTACAAATTTCCTTAAAAAGGACTGTGGGGGGAGCCCACAGAGAGGGGCATGGTCTGGTCCGGGTACCAAAGGCCAAACAGAGACTCCCCCGCCAGAATTAAGCTTCCTCGCTATTACTCTAGGCAGCCCCTGAATTAAACACAATAAAATGCAATCAATAAACAACTTAAAAACTATCGACGCGGAAGCGGTGCCAGAACAATGTTTAGTGCAAGCCGGCATAAAGCCATAAGAAGCAGGATGAAATCGATATGGAAAATAGTTCTGAGAGCCTGGAAGTGGGGCTCAGGAAGCGTGATTGTTCTAAGAAATAAAAAGAATGTGTTTTTTGTTTTTGTTTTGGAAAAGGGCTTTGGAGGACGGGGAGTTCTGCTCTTTGCCCTGAATGGGTCCTAACACAAGTGCCAGGTGAGTCTCTCTGAAGAGAGCATTCCGTCACCAGGGGAGCCACCACAAAGAAGCCCCCGCGAAAAAGCACTTACCTCGGATTTTGCCTGTGTGGCGTCTTTGAAAACCAGCTCATACTTCAATATGATGTCCTGGCGGGGAGGACTCCAGGTCAGCAAAATACTGCTATCGCTCTTGGCTTCTGCACGGAAGTTCATGGGTTGCCCGGGAACTGATGAGAGCAGGAAAAACAAAAAGACCCAGACGTTGTTGTAGGTAAGAATATAAGAACGTAAGACGAGACCTGCTGGACCAGGGCCCAGCACCCTGCTTTCACGGAAGGAGGGAGGAAGGGGGAGAGATTGGACAAACAAGAAAGTATTCCCCCCCCCTTCCTTGCTTGTTTTTTCGCAAGTTGTTTTCCTGTGTGTGTCCCCACCTCCCCACCACTTATATAAATCACAGTGGTCGCTCGGGTTGCGAACGTGATCCGTGTGGGATGCACATTCGCAACCCGCAGCGTTCACAACCCACAACGGCGCGTCTGCACATGTGCGGGTTGCGATCCAGCGCTTCTGCACATGCGCAAAGTGCAATTTAGCGCTTCTTCACATGCGCGACCGCTGAAACCCGGAAGTAACCCGTTCCGGTACTTCTGGGTTTCGGCGGTCCGTAACCCGAAAAAACGCAACCTGAAGCGTCTGCAACCCGAGGTATGACTGTATAAATTTATAGGAATCAACATTGACTTGTCGTGTGAACACTCGCCTAGCAAATGATTATCCCTGCTGCATTCGGATGGTGGGACCCGCGTTGTAGTCACAACACTGGCTCGGTGAGGACTCACCTCCTTGCTTGGTTTTGACTTGGATCGGGTCTGAGAGTGGCCCGTCTCCCACGGAAGTGAAAGCCAGGACCCGAACGGTGTAGGTTTCCATCTCCAGGAGACTGCTGACGGTGGTCAAGAGGCTGTCGTCGACGTTGTGCTTCTGCCAGTTGCTGACCGGCTGGTCTGGCTCCATGGTGTAGTAGACCCTGTAGCCCCGGATTTGACCGTTCGGCTCCACGGGCTCCTCCCACTGGATGATCATGGTTGAGGCGCTCAGCATCCGGCCCTGGACGTTGCGGGGGGCGCTGGCGGGGGCCTGCTCCCCTGTCCGCATCACCACGGGGTCGCTGGGCGGCCCCTGCCCGATGGTGTTGACGGCCGACACCCAGATCTCGTACTCCGAGTTGGGGCTGAGTCCCCCGATGCTGTAGCGGGTGGTGGTGATGTCTTCTTTGATCTGGTAGGGTCCGTCCTGGCTCTTCGACTTGTACTCGATCACGTAGTAGGACACAGGGTCGGGGTTCCCTGAATCCCAAGTGATGGTGATGCTCGTCGCAGTCGTCTCCGTCACGATGGGGGTTCCAGGAGCCTTGGGGAGCGCTGAGAAACAAACCGGGAGAGGAAAAACTCAGGGAAACGAAAACCAAATGCAAACAGCAGGGCGCCATATGCTAAATGCTGCACCTAATTGGCACGTTAGGGCAACGGGAGCCGGCAGCGCAGGTCTATAGACGGCGCGGCTGTTTGGAGAAATGTTCCCAGCCTTGTTAGGCACAGTTTATTATCCTCCTTAAACGGCTCAATCAAAAGGGAAAGTGCTCGGCTCGGCATCTGGAATCATTAACGTGAGCTCTGAGCTAAAAAAGTAACAACCCGCCAACCAACAGCTTTGCTTGTGAGTGTGTGTCTGAAAGGAGACGCGGTTTCCAAAGAAGCCAGGTGGGAGCTTAGCGCCTTGAGCACGGCCGCCATTTTGGAACACGTCTTGCTCGGAAAACATATTGGAAAGGGCAAAATATTGAAAAACATCTTCATGTATGCGACAACGGCCGCAAGAATTCTGGTAGCACAAGGATAGAAGACTGAAGAAACCCCAACTAAAGAATCATGGCAAGAAAAATTGATGGACTATGCAGAACTGGCAAAACTGACATATAAGCTGTGATTTTAAGGATGAATGGGAACCTTTCACAAAGTATCTGAAGACGCAACAAAGCGAACTGGACTCCTTGGCAGGTTTTGAATAAACATTCACGAACTTTTTATTGATAATAATCAGCTAAATAGTTTGAGGATCTATACAACTTTGTAACTTGCAGAAAACAGCATTCTTAGAGAAACCAAAGACTGGAACTGAGGGAAGTCGGGGGGTGGGGTGGGTTTTGTGTGGGAGGGGGGGAGGGAGGAAAAATGGGGGGGGGGACAAGGATGAAATGTTATAATTTTGAATAAAAAAAAATTTAAAAGAAAGGAAAGGGCAAAATATCCACCGTACTAGGGAGCCTGGAGGAAAGTGGGGAGGGATAGGAATCACTCCCATTCTTTTAGAACATAATAATGTTCAATGATAATGAAGATCTGAAAGAGGAGGAACTGGTTACTCAACCCCCTCCCTCTTTTTTAAATGTTTTATTGGGTTTTAGAGACAGGGATCATAGGAATAATGAACGATACAAATAAATAGACCAGGTCTTCTCATGGCATTTGCATATCATGAAAAGAGCACAATAAATTTGCAGAAGTATCTGTGACACATAGTGCATTAACGGTGGTCAATGTATAGGTTCTTGGTTCGTGAATTGGTTTAAACCAAAACAGAAGGGAAACAGGATAGGAGCAGAATGAACAGATAACATTCGACAAACTTCCAATCAGGATCCCTTGTGGCTGAGCTTAGATTAAATATGAGTAATTGCCATTTTCCCTCTTAAAGTAAAGGGTAAAGGGACCCCTGACCATTAGGTCCAGTTGTGGCTGACTCTGGGGTTGTGGCGCTCATCTCATTTTACTGGCCGAGGGAGCTGGTGTACAGCTTCTGGGTCACGTGGCCAGCATGACTAAGCCACTTCTGGCGAACCAGAGCAGCGCACAGAAACGCCGTTTACCTTCCCGCCAGAGCGGTACCTATTTATCTACTTGCACTTTGACGTGCTTTTGAACTGCTAGGTGGGCAGGAGCAGGGACCGAGCAACGGGAGCTTACCCCGTGGCTCTTATGTTACCAATAAAACAATATAATGTGTATATTGGTGAACGGGGGGGGGGGGCGTTCAAAGTGAAGATAGCAATTTATGTTTAATTTTAAATTTAGATTGACCAGACTGAGCCAAATGCAGAGGTGTGGGGGGGGGCTGATGTTCATTTTCTGGAATACTGGCATATGTTATGCTAAACCACACAGGGGTAAAGCCATCTTTCTTAATCTGTTCACGTAGTTTATTTGTTAATCTTACCTCAACTCATTTTTTTTACAGCAAGAATGGTGACAGCTAAATACTGGGGTCGGGCAGGTAGTTAAGTTCATGAGTCTAAAATTCATGAGTAAAGGTAAAGGGATCCCTGACCATTAGGTCCAGTCATGGCAGACTCTGGGGTTGCAGCGCTCATCTCGCTTTATTGGCCGAGGGAGCCGGTGTACAGCTTCCGGGTCATGTGGCCAGCATGACTAAGCCGCTTCTGGCGAACCAGAGCAGCGCAGGGAAACTCCGTTTACCTTCCCGCCAGAGCGGTACCTATTTATCTACTTGCACTTGACGTGCTTTCGAACTGCTAGGTGGGAAGGAGCAGGGACCGAGCAACGGGAGCTCACCCCGTCGCGGGGATTCGAACCGCCAACCTTCTGATCAGCAAGTCCTAGGCTCTGTGGTTTAACCCACAGCGCCACCCGCAGGGAGTTACATTCATGAGTCTAAAATTCATAAGTACTGTTTGGCAAATAGCCGCCTTGGAAAGATTGGTCTCGAAAACCTCAAGCAACTTATTCTTATTTTTTAATTTCATTTCTTGCACCCCACTTTTTCCTCCAAGGAGCTCAAGGCAGTGGAAATGCTCCTAACCACCCTCACTTAATCCCCACAACCACCCTGAGAGGTAGGTTAGGCTGCGAGGCAGTGACTGGCCACCCCACCAGTTTCATGGCCATGTGGGAATTCGAACCCGGGTCTCCAAGGCCCAAGTCTGACAAGCTAACCACTACGTCACACAGGCTCTCAATTAATGAAAGAATAAAGCAAGATGGAAAAGCCTTTTTTCCTGTCAGGCTGGTCTTTGCTTATTTGATTTTATCAACAGCCAGGAATCTGGTAGATGAGTCTCAACCACACAGAAAAACGGTTTGGTCTTTTGAAAGGCTAATTGGAGGTGGATAGGCAAATTAAGAGAAAAAAACACAAAATGTGGATCGGATGAATAGCATCATTTGTTTTGATAATTGGCTGTAGAAAACAAACGAATGCCGCAAAGGAAGAAATACTGCGTATTACAGTAGACTGAATATTCTGCTAAATGGAAGTTTCTCAATTCTACTTGTAGAATAATGTTGAGAGTTTTGAAGAATATGAATCCTGAAATCATGGGGTTGAAAAGGACCCCAAGGGTCATCCAGTCCAACCCGTTGCAACCCAGGAATCTCTACTAGATCATACATGAGAGACCTCAGCTTAAAAACCTCAAAGGAAGGAGAGTACGCTACCTCTCATGGGAGCCCGTTCCACTGTCAAACTACTGTTCATGCGGGAAGGGGGTAATTTATGTTTATACACACAATTCAAAGCGTTGCTGCTGACCTTGAAAGCCCTAAACGGCCTCGGTCCAGTATACCTGAAGGAGCATCTCCACCCCCATCGTCCAGCCCAGACACTGAGGTCCAGCGCTGAGGGCCTTCTGGCTGTTTCCTCCCTGCGAGAAGTCAAGTTACAGGGAACCTGGCAGAGGGCCTTCTCGGTGGTGGCACCCGCCCTCCCACCAGATGTCAAAGAGAACAACTACTACCAGACTTTTAGACGACATCTGAAGGCAGCCCTGTTTAGGGAAGCTTTTAATGTTTGATGCATTACTGTATTTTAATATGGCAAGGTTTGAACTCAGGGCTTTCAGGTTCAACCCCTTCCAAGAGCCTCTTTAACCCCCTCCCCAACTCCATTAGAGAACTCGTATCTGATGCCCCCTCTGCCCCTCTCAAAACCACTCTTCAAAGCCTGAACACAACCCAAAACCAAGGGTGTGTCCTCTGTCCCCCAGTCATTCCTCGTTTCCCAGCTCCCTCTTATCCCTGTGTCAAATTGTTGACTGTATTCTCCTTGGGGGCAGAGGCCTGCCTTTTTTTTTTTTTTTTTTGCTGTCGTCGCTCTGCAAAAACGCCACATGCTTTATTAAAAAACGAACGGGAAGTAAACCGTCACACATCATACAACGCTGGCAAACAGACACTAAGCTCATGCAAAATTCACAAGAAACCCGTGCACACTTAAGAACGGATGCATGGAGTACCCAAGGTGTGCTTTGGCCCCATATCGAGTTTTCCGAAAAGCCCAGGGCTTTCATTCTTCATGCAGTAGCCTCTTGTTAGAGCTCTCCGGCAATTTGGAAGACATGCGGAAGCTGACCTGACAGATGGTTAGCAGCAACATCACGCACAGATGCAGCTCTGAACGCTTCGTTCATGCTTTCTCTATGCATGCAAGCGAAGGGATTGGGCAAAGGGGTACCAGCCGACTGAGCCCGGGAGCCCCAGCTCCGCTGACCATTGCCCAAAAGTTCTGCCCTGGTAGCAAGCTCTCCAGATCAGCCAAGGAACAAGCAAGGAGGAGCAACTGACGGAGAGATGGGTGATGCAGAAATCGGCATGCAAACACGAGAGGGGGGACAAGCCGGGAAGTCAAAACAGGTAGCGGGCTTAGGCAACAGCTCTTCCACCTGGGAGGCAAGCTAAGGCTCCTGATGCAAACAGAGGCAAGGCATAGAGAATGATGATATCTTGCTGGGCTCCTACTCCCATTATCCTCCACGCTGGTCCTGCTCGCTGGAGGATGATGGGCGTTGGAGTCTATCCGTGTGTGGAAGGGCACAGATTTCCCTGCCTCTGCTAACCAGACTGGACCCCTGGCCACGTGAGGGCTGTGAAGACCCACCGGGAAGACTCGAGCGGAGCCCCTGTCACGCCAAGCGCCCGACAGCGGGAAAACTAGCCCTGCTTACATTTCACGGTGATCTGTGCCACGGCTTCGATGACGCCCAGGCTAGACATGGCCACGCAGGTGTAGTTGGCTGAGTCCTTCACATCGGTCAGTTCCAGGACATTCCGCCCCACGGGCATGTCGTCCTCCGGCGTCAAGTCTTCCGCCCCCTGCATCCATTTGACGTAGGGCATGGGGGAGCCCACCGCCACGCAGGTGATGTTGACATTGCCTCCAGGCATAATCTCGTGGCTGGAGGGAGGGATGGAGAAGCGAGGGGCCACCCGACGCACTGCGGACAAAAGGCACAGAGGTAACAAAAACAAAAGCAAAATAAAAAAGGGGGGAAAAGAAAAAGGAGAGGGGGGGGAAAGAAAAAGAAAAGAAAGATAAGGGGGAAAGAAGAGCAGAAGAGATTTTAAATACAGATGGGGCTTCAGCTGTTATCATTTTGTTGTCGTTCCTTCATTTAAAGGGGAGGGGGGGACAAAAAAAAGAAGCTGAAATTAAAAATCATCAGAATACCGAGAAATGATAATCAATCAATAAAGGAAAAAACCAAACGAACAGAACTTCGAAAATAATTTTACTTTCACAAACGATATGTAGAATATAGACATAAAAGCGGTATCTCATAGCAACAGGAGTCCATTGATCGATTTTAAGACCCATCACAGCACAAATAAATACACAAAAATTTATTAGCAATTTCTCATCTTTAAGAGAGCAAAAGAAGTTGGGCGTGGCACTTCCGGACAGTGGGGCCCCCTCCCTGCGTACGTTGGGGTGGGCTATCCTTCTACTCCCCTTCCCCAACATTTTCGGCAAGGCCCCTTTCCGGCGGAGGCGAAGGGAAGGGGACCTTCCCTCAAATCGGAAACCAGGTTTTCAAAGCTAAATTGGCCCCCTCCAGAGACCAAGACCCCTCGAAACAAAATAGTGGGTGGGGGAAGCAAGACTGGAGAAAGAGAGAGGGGGGAGGGGAATGCAAATTTTCAAGTGAGAAGGTCACACGTGCCGAGACTGATGCATCCTTCGCACACAGAACCACAACAATCTTGAGAGGGTAGCCTGACCATCCACGTTGCCTTTCCAAAAGGGAAGGAAGACCCACCTACCCATTAGGATAGCGGTTGCAGAAAGTGCTGTTTTTCTAGGGGAAAAAGTACTCACCACGAAGGCCTCCCTCGTTCTCTTACAATGGCACCCACATGAGAGGTGCCATCACTGAGCTTTGGTGGAAAGAAGAAGCAGCCCTGTTTGCGGAGCCTGCGCCCCTCCAGATGCCGCTGGACTAAAACTCCCACCGTCCCCGGATGGGAAATGGACACCTACAACATCTCTGGCGTAGGGGCACAGCTTACCCCTCCCTGAGCTAAGAAGAAGCATTCTCTGGTCTCAGGAGGAAATGCCTCTCCTAAATGAGTCACTCTTCCCTCTCTTGCATGGAGCAGGATGCTTCTCAGGGTCAGGAATTAGGAACCTGCAGCCTTTGAGATATTGGGGAACTACAACGCCCATCATCCACAGCCAGGCATGTCCAAAGCCCATTTCAGGGGCCTAATCCTGCCCGCTGGTCGGTTTAATCCGGCCTCTGTGGCAGTTAATTTTCTAGGATAAAAACCTCAACAACTTCAACCCTAAAAAAAAGCTCAGCAACTGGAATCCTAAAAAAGGTCAACAACTTTGGTTGGCCCTTTGGTCGGCCCTCACGGCCCTTCACTTCATCAAATCTGGCCCTCTTTGAAAAAAGTTTGGACACCACTGTACCTTGGCCACTGGCCGTGCTGGTTGCAGGGGCTGGTGGGTCTTGGGAGTCCAACAAATTGGGGGCCGGCCAGCCGGCCTGAGGCTTCCCCATCCTAGCATCTGGTGCAGATGTGGGCTACAATGAACATCTGCATGGGCTCAAAGCCCTGGTCTTTTCTAGAAATGCCTCCTAAGGGAGACTGGAGGGACAGAGCAGTTCTCGCCGCAGCCCCCCAAAACTTAAGGCAGGTAAAAATACAGTGGTACCTCGCAAGACGAATGCCTCGCAAGACGGAAAACTCGCAAAACGAAAGGGTTTTTGGTTTTTTGAGTTGCTTCGCAAGACGATTTTCCCTATGGGCTTGCTTCGCAAGACGGAAACGTCTTGCAAGTTTGCTTCCTTTTTCTTAAAACTGTTAATACAGTTGCGACTTGTCTTCGAGGAGCAACTCACAGCACGCGGTGTGGTAGCCTTTTTTGAGGTTTTTGAAGACTTTGGTGATTTTCGAAGCTTTTCCAAAACTTTTCCGACACCGTGCTTCGCAAGACGAAAAAAACCGCAAGACGAAAAAACTCGCGGAACGAATTAATTTCGTCTTGCGAGGCACCACTGTAGGTGGAATTGGGAGCTGGGTGGGAGGGAAAGGGGGCTTGTTCCCTGGAGGTGGCCAAAATCTAGCCTGCAAACCGGAAGTGGGGAGTTCACAAGGCTGTCCTCTCTGCGTGGTGGTGGTGAGGGGTCCCCCCTTTCTTGTCCTCACCCCACCCCCACCCCCCCGCCTCCACGAAGTGACCCAGAGGTGTGCACGGCGAGAGGGAAAAGATGAGAAACTCTAATGAAATTTTTGTGGTTTTCGGGCAGTGAAACCCTAACGAAGCCTCTTTGAAAGGTCTGACATGATTCCATCAATAGATGCAGCTCTCAGAATCACAAACATCATGCAAAAGAGAAGAATGGAGAGAAGAGAACGAGAGAGGAAGAGGAGGAGAAAGAGAGAGAGAGAGAGAGAGAGAGAGAGACAGAGACAGGGAGGAGGAGGAAAGGAGAATGGAGAGCATTGGAACTGGTTTGTGGGCCACTGCAAATGCCCACATGGGTAAGGAAAATAGAAAAAGAGACCAGGAGAGAGAGAGAGAGAAAGAGAAAGAGAAAGAGAGACAGAGAGAAGGGTTAAAGGTCAGGGGGGGAACCCACTTTTAAAAAATGCTGCATACTCATTTTATTTATTTTTTCTTGCCGATGTGAACCAATGCGCAGTAGGTTTTAACATTGGCACATCGCAG